CCACCCCCAGGGTCTGCAGCACCAGGAGCACCACTCCGAAGACTGCAGCGCCGCGCGTACCACTCTCGGATCTGCTGAATGGGGGGGAGCTCCTGGGTAGGAGGGGAAGTACTGGTACGAGCTCCAGCAGCACCTCTCCGGAGGCGGCAGTACTGTAGATACCTCTCCTGCAGCTGCTGGGAGGAGAGGGCTCCCCCAGGTGTAGCATGCTCAGGCGCAGCACCTCCAGACACAGCACCCCCAGACGCAGCACCCCCAGGCTCAGCACCTCCAGACTCCGCACCCCCAGGCTCAGCACCTCCAGGCTCCGCACCCCCAGGCTCAGCACCCTCAGACTCCTCACGGTCAGGCTCAGTACCCCCAGCAGGACGAGAGTCAACAGCTACCTCGACAGGCTCAACCGGGTCTACCTGGGACACACCTGAGGGAGCGGCACCCTGAGGGGGGAGGGGGTCTGGTACCTCAGCACCTGGAGCGAGGAAGAGAGGCGGGGGGGGGAGCGGGGCAGTGCGGTAGGGGAAGAGGCGGTAGTAGGGGACGGACTCGTCAAAAGTGACGTCCTGAGAGGCAAGGACACGACGCGAGGTGGCGTGGTAGAACTGCCAACCAGGCGCGTCCGGGACAAAGCCAAGGAAGACACAGGGGACAGCTCGACGGGAGAGCTTGTCCGCGGACGTATCGCGAACAAAAGCTCGAGATCCCCAGACCCGAAAACGCGACGCATCGCCAGCCTCTCCCGTCCAACGCAGTGTCGGAGAAGTCTCCGGTAAGGAGACACGGGGCCAGAGGTTGAGCTGATGCGCAGCGTATCGGACTGCAAATGGCCACAGAAAGTGGGGGGCAGCCGCATGAACCAAGGAGGTACGAGCGACCTCCATGACCAAGCCAATGCGGCGCTCAGCAACCCCATTCTGCTGTGGAGAGGCCGGAAGCGTGAACGACTGCTCAATGCCCTCCTGCTGACAGAAGGCCTCCAAGAGGCCAGAGGAAAACTCCCCACCTCTGTCAGAGTGCAGACGCAGGACAGGGAAGTCGGAGCGGAAACGCTCACTGAGCTGGAGACAAGATCTGCGGATCCAAGGGATCAAGACATCAGGGACCTCACCCTTGGTGCGCAAGGGGAAGACCGTGGTGTAGCGCGAGAAGTCGTCAACAACAATCAGGAAGTACCTCTCCTGACCCTGACCACGGACGTGGGCTGGGCCCCACACGTCCATGTGGAGCGTCTGCAAAGGAGCAGTCGTCGGGGGGAAGGAGGAGGAGTGAGGAGCGGCGCGCTGCCGCCCCTCGACACAGGGAAGACAGGGAGGAGCAGGCGAGGGTGGCAGGGGAGGGAGAACCCTGGGAAGACCAGCAACAAGGTCCCGTTTGTGCATGGCCCGAAGGCGCTGCACAGACGGGTGACCAAGGCGGTGGTGCCAGAGGACAGTCTCATGCGCCAGAGAGCGACACGAGCAGGGGGCGGACAGCTGACCTGACGCAGACGCAGACGCGGACGCAGCTACCTGAGGGGACTCAGTGGTCAGTGTGTACAGGTCCGACCCCGGCTGCCGAGTGAAGGTAGCCAGGTGACGGCCCGTCCGAGCACACGTGCAGTGGGTCACGCGCTCGTAAGCAGGGGTGAACTGGTGAACACCCCCGTCCTGGAGCGCACTACCTGCCACCAAGTTCGTAGAGAACGAGGGGAGGTAGAGGCCGGACAGTGTGCCTGACGGGACCGCAGGACAAGGAAGGACAGTGGAGGAGGTCGCAACGACCGGACCCCCTGAGGGGTCAGCGAGGGAGACAGCAACTGGCCGAGCAAGCGGCTCAAGGGCAGTGCGGTCACGAAAGAAACAGCGAGAAGCACCTGAGTCCAGTGTGAAGGTGTGCAGTGCTGCAGTCGACTCAGTACCAGGGGGGACGGACTCACGAGCACCTAGAGCGACAGCCACACCATCACCTGAGGTGGCAGACACCAGAGGACCTGCAGTGGCAGTCGCACTAGTACCTAGAGCAGTAGGCTCATCAGCAGCTGGAGTGGTAGACACGTGAGTACCGGGAGTGGAAGCCTCACCTGCACCTAGGGCAACAGACGTACTAGCACCTAGAGCGGCAGCCTGACTCACAGGACTCGGCAGCTGCACCTCTCCACTACCAGTAGCTCCCGAGCGACGCACTCCAGAGGGACTACCACTACGGCCACTCCGACAGCCCAAACTGGCGTACCACTCACGAGCCTGCTGTAGCAGAAGAGGGCACGGCTGCTGCACCTGGCCACGACCAGAGGCTCCCGAACGACGCACTCCAGAGCGACTACCACTACGGCCACCCCGACGTCCCAAACCGGCGTACCACTCACGAGCCTGCTGTAGCATAAGAGGGCACGGCTGCTGCACCTGGCCACGACCAGAGGCTCCCGAACGACGCACTCCAGAGCGACTACCACTACGGCCACCTTGACGTCCCAAACCGGCGTACCACTCACGAGCCTGCTGGAGCATAAGAGGGCACGGCTGCTGCACCTGTCCACTACCAGAGGCTCCCGAACGACACACTCCAGAGCGACTACCACTACGGCCACCCCGACTGCCCAAACCGGCGTACCACTCACGAGCCTGCTGGAGCTGCATCTGGCCACGTCAGGAGCAGCAGCAGTAGTGGTAGCAACAGCAGTGGCAGTGGGAGTAGTAAGGGCAGGTCAAAGCTCACCAGAGGTAGGCGCGGCGGGCGCAAGACGGTGGTGACAGCGGGGCGGGGCCAGGACGCAGCAGGGAGCTCCGCGGCAGCTGCTGCAGGGTCGGCGGCGGCAGCTGCTGTAGGTCGAGCGGCGGCTGCTGCTGCAGGCTCGGTGGCGGCAGCTGCTGCAGGTCCGGCGGCGGCCTCTGCTGCAGGCTCGGCGGTGGCAGCTGCGGTAGGCTCGGTGGCGGCAGCTGCTGCAGGTCTGGCGGCGGCTGCTGCTGCAGGCTCGGTGGCGACAGCTGCTGCAGGTCGAGCGGCGGCTGCTGTTGCAGGCTAGGCGGCGGCAGCTGCTGCAGGTCCGGCAGCGACGAAGCCGCGAAGGGGCGGCTGAGGGGTCGCGACGGGCAGCTAAGGGGCCGCGACGCGCGGGGAAGGAGCCGCGGGCGGCTAAGGGGCCGCGACGGGCGGCTAAGGGGCCGCGACGGGCGGCTAAGGAGCCGAGCGGGCGACGAGCGGGCGGCAGCTGCAGCGGGCGACGAGCGGGCGGCAGCTGCAGCGGGCGACGAGCGGGCGGCAGCAGCAGCGAGCGACGAGCGGGCGGCAGCTGCAGCGAGCGACGAGCGGGCGGCAGCAGCAGCGGGCGACGAGCGAGCGGCAGCTGCAGCGGGCGACGAGCGGGCGGGCGCTGCAGCGGGCGGGCGGCAATGTGCAGGCCGGCGGGGCCGCTGCGGGCTGCGCTATAGCGGTGCGAGCGGCGCACGGGCAGCGAGCCGGTCGCGCTCAAAAGAAATCAGCCGCGCGCGATTGGCTGGCGGGCTGCGCGCGCGCGGTAGGTAGGAGGCGCACTGAGGCGCGTAGGCGCACGAGGGCGCACGGTAGGTAGGTACGTTCTAGGGTTTGGTACTTGTACTCCTCATGCTGCTCAATGCATTCATTCTCGTTACAATTCTCACAAGAAATAGCATAATAAAGTAAAGGCAAGCAAGCATAGCTGGCATAAGCCGTCGTACTCTCACACTGGGTAAGTGTTTTGAAAGGAAGATTTTCTCTGATTTGCCAGGGTTTTGTTTTTAGCTACTCTGGTGCGTCAGTGTATTATTATGGCAGGTACGTTTTTCTCTGTACCAAAGATGGCCAGGATCGGAAAGGATTGTTGTTAAAGCTCCGTTATACATTTGAAAGGAGAGGTTCAAGTTCCTTAGGGACTTGAAAAGTTGCCCCAAACCTGTGAGGCCCACTTATAAACCCTGAACCCCGCTGACAAATGTATACTGCCACTTTAAAAGCAAGTGAAGAACGGGGTTGCTTTCGCGTAGCACAGTGGTATCCCGGATTTTGTCGACGTGCGCAGGCGCAGGTTCAATACTTGGCAAGAACATCTGAATTCTGGAAAAGGTTATGTCAACGAGTCATGGTTTTTTTTTTTGTTTTTTTTTTTTTTAGAAGTTACTTTTTCTGTGACAAATACGAGAAACGCTCAGATGTACCCTGATATTCAGAGGTCCCAAAAATATAGCTTTTGAAATCCGAGTAGTGAAAAACGAAAAAAAATCAATAATAAAAAAAAAAAACAAAACAAAACAAAACCCTGGTCCTAGTACAAGCTCTGCATGCAACACAGGCGAGACGAGCTTCAGGCGAAGTCGACATGGACGACGAAATTGGAGCAGATGGGTTATGCTGCAACAACGTAGAGGAGCCTGAGTCGGACTCCGAGGCCGACCCAGATGACCCCACCGCAGCTGAAGATTGGAGTGGTAAACGTAGCTTGTGTTTGGCCCTGGTAGGTAGATTAGCATGTGTTAGAATGTAATTCTAGATATGACATTGTATTAGTAAATTCTGTTGATTTTTTAATAGAGGGTGGCGCTTATAATCCGTAATTCAAAATCTTGCTAAATAGTAGAATCATTGACAAGAGGGTGGCGCTTATAATCCGTAAGCCCGTAGCTATGCGCTAATAATCAAGGACCGGATATAAGCGTCATATACTCATTACAAGCGCCTGGCGCTTATCTGAGGCCCGCGCTTATATTCGGGGGCTGACGGTAGGTCTGTTCATACCTTATTTTACGATTTTGCATTTTCATCTTAGGGTAATTATGGCATGTTCATCACTTGTGTTTTACAAAATTGCTGATACACCCTCCAAATCAGGTATGGTATTAAATTCTGCTAACCCAGGTGCGAGGTGGGTGTGGGTGAGCAACCCTGGTTCAACAGGATGCCGTGAAAGAAGGCTGAGCCCTGCAAGTGCCAGCCTGCACCGCCATGCCCTCACACATGTGAACATATCTGCAATGTGCCTTGCCCATGCCTTGTCCTTCCCTGGCAGCCCGCTAGCAGGCGGGGGCGCCAATGTGGGCGGCGATCTGCAAGAGGTGGTCCTCCAGCAACTCCAGCACAGCCCTCTCTTGCACCGCCCTCTCTTGCACAGCCCTCTCTTGCACCGCCCTCTCTTGCACAGCCCTCTCTTGCACCGCCCTCTCTTGCACAGCCCTCTCTTGCACCGCCCTCTCTTGCACCGCCCTCTCTTGCACCGCCCTCTCTTGCACCGCCCTCTCTTGCACCGCCCGCCCCCCATCCCATGCCTCTCCTCCCCTCGCCGTTGCCAACGACCCCCTTCCCTGTCCCAGTGCTGTGGCCCGTGCGGACCGCACAGCAGCAAGGCGGATGGCAACCCGTGGATCATCCATCACACCCACCTCTGCTGCTGCACCACCTGCAGCAGCGTGAGCACCAGCAGCATGGGCAGCATGACCAGCACTCACGCTCCTCCTCCCATCCACCTGCTCCTCCCTTCCCCTCGCTCCTCCAACACCCCCTGCCCCATGTCCCCCCAGGCTTCTCCTGCGGGCCTTGCCAGGCGAGGGCGAGAACCCAGAGGGCGGCAGGCGGGCAGCAAGGGCAGTGCTGGTGGTGGTGGTGCGCAGCACAGCGGCGGACGGGCTGCTGCTACCCGCGCCCATGCCGCGCTGCCCCTCCCCCGCGCCTCCCCCCTCCATCAGCTCTGCACTGCGCTTGCGACTCACCCGCCTGCCATCCCACCAAGCACCCCATTCCCCTCCACCTTGCTCTGCCCCCTCGTCCGCCGCATCACCCCTCGCCACGTCATCGTCCAGGTCAGCATCGGCATCACTGCTGGTGAGGGCGCTGGAGCGGGCGAGGGGGGAGGATGTGGCGGCGAAGAGTGTGTCGCCGGGGTCGCCCTGCTCGTCGCACATGAGCGCCCGCGTGCCCGGCGACACCGACCGCTGCTGCCGCCCCTCCACCCCCTCCTCCTGCTGCTCCACCTTCGCACCTCCCACCGCTTCCTCCTCCTGTTCTCCCTCCTCCACCTCGCCCTCCACCTCTCCCTCCACCAAGCTCGCACTCATTTCCCCCCCTTCTCCCCTCTCTTCCTCCCAATGCGCTGTTCTCCCCTCATTGCTGCCCTCCTGCTTCATGCTGACCTGCTCCCTCCCCTTACCCCCTCGCCCCTCCTCCTTCTCACCGCCCTCCACCTGCTTCTCCTCTGCATCCACTGCGTGCCCTCTCTCTTCCTCCGCAGCCATTGCCCCACCACCTGCCAGCACCACATCGCCCACCGCCTTCACATCGCCCACCGCCTTCACATCGCCCACCGCCTTCACATCTTGCTTGCCACCACCAACGCATGCAGCAGCAAGAGGCGACACAGTGGAACCCAGCAGCACGCGAGTCAACTCACACGCCTTCCCCGCTGCACCCACTCCCACCTCCTCGTCCACCTCCACTACCACCCCACCCTCTCCCAAACACGCCTCAATCTTACCTTTTTTCTCACTCTCTCCCTTCGTCTCACACTCGCCCTTCTTCCCACTCTCGCCCTTCCTTTCATACTCGCCCTTCTCACTCTCTCCCTTCTCACTCTCACCCTCTTTCTCACGGTCACCATTCTTCTTACTCTCACCCATCTCACTCTCATCCTGCTTCTCACTCTCGCCCTTCTTCTCACCCTCGCCCTTCTTGCTGTTGCCGCCAATCTCGCCCTCACAGTCACTCGTGTGCATTGCACTTGCCCACTCTTTCTTCACACAGCCACCACCACCACCACCCCCCTCACCACTTGCGCCCTCACCCACCCCTCCCACCCCCCCCACAAAACCCCCCTGCCTCTGTGATGGGGGCTCAGCCCGCCACCTTCTCTCCTCTGTGTCCCGCTGCTCCGCCTTGCTCTCACCACCGCCCACTTGCTCCCTGCACCACACATCTGCAGTGCTCACACCTGCAGTGCTCACACCTGCAGTGCTCACACCTGCAGTGCTCACACCTGCAGTGCTCACACCTGCAGTGCTCACCACCTCATCTTTATCCCACACCGCCACACTTGACTTCCCGCCTCCCTCGCCCACCACCACGTGGCCTTCTTGGGCCTTACCACACTTGCTATCTTCTCCGCTTTCCTTCTCGCTCCTTTCCATCTCTTCTCTCTCCTTTATTTCATTCTCTACTCCTTTCTCTTTACCTCCGCCATCCTTGCCTTCTCTCTCCTTCCCTTTTCTTCTCTTTCCATCTCTTTCCTTCCCTTCTCTCTCATTCCCTTCTCTCCTCTTCCCTTCTTCGCCCTTCCCTCGTTCTTTCGAGTCTCGCTGTCTTCCTTCCCTATCCTTCCCTTCTCTCCCCTTCCTATCTCTCTCCTTGTATCTCCACTTTTCAACGTAACTCTCTCTGTATCTCTCCTTTCCTTCCCTCTTCTTTGCTTCTCTATCCCTACCTTCCCTCTTCTTCCAATCTCTCTCCCGCCCTCCTCTGTGCTTCTCATCTCTCCTCGTCCCTTCCCTCTCCTTCAAGTCTCGACTTCTTTCTCTCCCCTTCCGTTCCCTCTTGCCATCTCTCTCCTTCCAATCGCGCTCCCTCCCACCTGGCCTCTCCCGACCTCTCTCCTCTCCATCCTTGTCCTTCCCTTCCCTCCTGTTTGATCCTCTCTCGCTCCCATCCAGTCTCTTTTCATCAATCACCTTCCCTTTCCTCCCCTTCTCTACACTCTCCTTCATGACCTTCCCGTCACTCCTCATCTCCTCACTCTCCGTTCCTCCCCTCTTGTCATCATCTCGCGTCTTCTCTTCGCTCCTCATTCTTTCCCTTCGTTCCATCCCTGGCCATCCGCTCTCATCAGCTTCTCTCTCCTTATCGTTATTTTCCCCATCTGTCCTATCCCCTCCCCTCTCCTCCCCTTTTCTCTCTTCACTGCTCTCCTCCTCTTCTCTCATTTCTCCTTCAATGTCCTCCCATCCTCTCTTCTCCCCATCACACTCCTCCCCATCACTCTCTTCCCCATCACTCTCCTCCCCTTCCCTCTCCCCCCCATCCCTCTCCGCCCCATACTTCTCTTTCTCATCTTTGTCCTCGCTATCTCTCTCCTCCCCTTCCGTTTCCTCCCCTTCCCTTTCCACACCTCCATCCCCCCGATCGTGTTCTACCCTATCGATCTCCTTCTCAACCTCCGCGTGTCCAGGGCGATTGTCACTGAGCATCTCTGGCATGATCACATCAGCATGACCGCGAGCAGCCTGGCCCTCTGCCCTACCCACGCCTCTCACCTCTCCATCCGCCCTCGCGCCTCCACCCTCGCCTCCCTCTCTCGCCTGCCCCTCGCCTCCCTCTCTCGCCTGCCCCTGCTCTCGGCGATCACCGCCCCCCTCACTCCCCTTCCCCCCACCGTTCTCCGCCAGTTCAACCATGCTATCCTCTTCCACCGCCCTGCTATCCTCTTCCACCGCCCTGCTATCCTCTTCCACCGCCCTGCTATCCTCTTCCACCGCCCTGCTATCCTCTTCCACCGCCCTGCTATCCTCTTCCACCGCCCTGCTATCCTCTTCCACCGCCCTGCTATCCTCTTCCACCGCCCTGCTATCCTCTTCCACCGCCCTGCTATCCTCTTCCACCGCCCTGCTCTCCTCTTCCACCGCCCTGCTCTCCTCTTCCACCGCCCTGCTCTCCTCTTCCACCGCCCTGCTCTCCTCTTCCACCGCCCTGCTCTCCTCTTCCACCGCCCTGCTCTCCTCTTTCACCGCCCTGCTCTCCTCTTCCACCGCCCTGCTCTCCTCTTCCACCGCCCTGCTCTCCCCCACTCGCCCGCCGTGCCCCTCTGCCCTCTCACTCGCCCCCCTGCCGCCATCACCCGCCTCGCCTGCACTGACTGCACGCTCACACTCTGCCCTGGGAGCAGCAGACAGCTGGGGAGCAGCAGACAGGTGGGGAGGAGCAGCGGAGAGGTGAGCAGAAGCGGGCAGGGGGGGGCCCTGGAAGCCGAGCTTGACTGTGGCGGTGGGGCTGTGGGGGGGGCTCTGCTGCGCGGGGGCGGGCTGACAAGGCTCCTTTGCTGCACCACCTGCTTCAGCTGCCAGTGCTGGCCGCACTGCCTCTGGCTCTGGCGAGGCGGACACTGCTGGAGGGGTGCACGCGCACACAGGCAGGCACACGCAGTGAGAGGGCACGAGGGAGAGAAAACGCTTGACTAGGGAGCCCTATGCCCTCTGCCCTTGCGCAGCGGCGTGTGCGCTGTCTCTGCCAGTCGTGAGGGGATGGCAGGGAGGATGAGTAGAGAGTGACCACGTGCAACGACGAGCACACACAGCACGCTACAATGAGATGGGCTTGCAGCACGGATACCACCCGTGCTGAATGCCACTCACTGCACGCGCTGTACTCGTGCTGAATGCCACTCACTGCACGCGCTGTACTCGTGCTAAATGCCACTCACTGCACGCGCTGTACTCGTGCTGAATGCCACTCACTGCACGCGCTGTACTCGTGCTGAATGCCACTCACTGCACGCGCTGTACTCGTGCTGAATGCCACTCACTGCACACGCTGTACTCGTGCTGAATGCCACGCACTGCACGCGCTGTACTCGTGCTGAATGTCACTCACTGCACACGCTGTACTCGTGCTGAATGCCACTCACTGCACGCGCTGTACTCGTGCTGAATGCCCCACGCCAGCGCCGCCATGAGCATGCACGTGCGCTGCGCCGCCCACGAGGAGAGGGGTGAGGCCTCCGAGGGGGAGGGCAGGGCGGGCGTGGAGGGCGCGTGGGAGGGAGAGGGGCCCGCCAGGGGGGGGTGCGGGGAGGGCGACCTGGGGAGCATGTGGGGAGGGGGAGGTCGGGCGCGCAGGGGGTGGAGGAGACAGGGTGAGTGAGAGGTGGCAGGGTGAGTGCGAGGTGGCAGGGTGAGTGCGAGGTGGGAGGGGCAAAGGGACGAGGGGATGGAAGGGAGATGAAGGGGACGGGGAACTGAGGGAAGCTTGAGGAGAAACGGAAAAACAAAGAACAGGAGATGCAAGAAAAGTCAACAATTCTGAAGGGTTGGGCGCGTTGGGTGTGTGCAGTGCAATGCACGCGCTGCAGTTGGTGAAAGCAATGAGGTCACGTGGGGTGCTGGGCTCACCTTCCGCCCACCTCTGTGCGACCCTCCATCTGAAGCAAGGATCAAAATGACGGTCGTTTTTTTGGAAATTCACCGTAAAATACGATATCGTAATTTACGGTCGTAAAAAACGGTAAAATACGGTTTATGTGCTCATTTTAGGGTTGTAATAAAATACGGTCGTTTTTTACGGCCGATCTTTTGAAACGGGACACTGTATAGCGAAATTTGAAATTCTTAACAGTCAAGCAGGCAAAGCTGAATTCCGAACCCCCAATTGCGTCGAATGTGTTTCCTCCCCCGAATCGCGAATTTCAGCACATTCACGATGTGCTACAGTTACGCATTTTGGCGAACGGGTTTGCGTCAGATTACCCGATTCGTTTTTTCGTAACAATCATTCGCCGCATCGCAACGAGTTCATTTCGTGCGAGGCGCGACATTGAAACATTTGGCGAGCTGACACCAAATGGTTGAACGCTTCGCGTATTCGTTGAACTTTTTCGCGCCCCCTTTTTTGCTTTCGCCCGCGTGTGCGACTCACCCCAAATTCGCGACTTGGGTTGAATTCAACCAATCAGAGTTGGCCAATGTTCATCCCTCTCATCACCCCTTTCCCAAAATCCACTCGACAACCCACGCCCAGCAACCAGGCCCTTCAGATACTAATAGTTGCTATTGTTTCACTACAACACGTTCCAGAATTAGAGTAGCCTTACAGTACTCACCTCAGCTCAACTTCTCCACCATGGTGAGACCCGTCTCTGACCTCTGGAAGCATGTGAACAAGACATCCGACGCCAACGTAGTTAGTGCAACATGCAAGCACTGCGGAGAGGCCGTTACCGCTAACGCGACACGAATCAAGGAGCACATTTACGGGACTCCTTTGAACAAGTTGAAGAACGTGACGATGTGCGAGTCAGATCCCGCTAAGCTGCTGCGAGCGGAAGCCGAGCGTGAGCGTTCCTCCACAGCGGGCTGCTCTAACCGTGCCTCTTCGTCTTCGAATGAGCTTCAGCCCGCCCGTCGTGCTAGGCAGCGCGACATCCGTGACATGGCGGATGACCTTGCTCGCGGTCGCCTAGACTACCTTTGGGCCGCGGTTGTGGCTGAGAACGACTTGGCGTTCAACGTATCCAAGTCGAAGGCTCTTCAGGCGTTTGTGGACGCCGCCGTCATCTACGCCAAACCGTACACGCTCCCCACGCCGTTCAAGGTTTCGGGCCCGCTGCTTGAGAAGCTCAAGGCGGATACCGAAGACCTTGTTCGCCCAATCAAAGACAGCTGGAACATTAGCGGGTGCTCCCTCTCGGTGGATGGCTGGACATGCTTGAAATCCCGCGGCATGGTATGCGTCATTGCTCAGAACGACACCGCTCCCGTCATTGTTGATATCGTGGACTCCAAGACGGCCAAGAAGACCGGAGAGTACCTGGCGGCCCTCATTCGCAAGGCGATCTGCACGGTGGGGGACAGGAAAGTCATCCAGGTTGTGATGGACAATGCGTCCAACAACAAACGCGCAGCCGACATGCTTCGTGATGGGTTTCCTCAGGTGTTCTTCACGAACTGCGCCGCGCACGTGCTGGATCTCATGCTGCACGACATGGGAAACATTCGGGTGGTGAAACGTGTCCTGACTCAAGTACATAGGGTGGTGATGATGGTGAAGGGATCCGCCTCTGCCGTCGTATTGTTCAGAGAGGTTTTCAGCAAGTTGTCCTTGGTCCGCCCTGGTGCAACGCGGTTCGGCACCCAAGTGATTATGATCGGCCGTTTTTTGGAGGTGAAGCGGGCGCTGCGGGCGATGGTGATTAGTGAAGAGTGGGAGGAGGTGGCGGTGGCACGGACAAAGGAGGGGCGTGCGGTCCGCACGCTGCTACTGGACGACTTTTTCTGGGACTTAGTAACGGCTGTCCATCGCCTCATGACTCCGGTGTATGGGGTGCTTCGGGTGGTTGACAAGAGGTCGCTCATCATGGGGGAGATATACGGCCGCATGATAGACGCCACAGTCCAAACGAACGAGGCGGCTGAGGCGGCTGGTAAGCACTATAATGCAGTTGGTGTTGTCGTACTTTGCTGGCGTTTTTTCAAGATCAAACAAGTATCTTACTTGTTTTTGTTTTACTCTCTCCTAACAACTGAAATCTTTGTCAAGCGCCCCACCCTGCTGGCGGCCAAAGATAGAGTTGAGCATTTGGCCCGACCCGACCCGACCCGACCCGATTTGGCCGGGCCATACGGGCCCTCGGGTCGGGTCGGGTCGGGCCGACCTCGGGCCAGATTCCCGAAACAGCTGGCCCGACCCGGGCCTACACACTCGGGTCACGGGGGACCCGAGTTCGGGTCGGGCCGGGTCGGGCCAGGAAGACCCGCCCCTTTAGGGGGAGGGTGGGGGTGCTCCCCATGACTTGTACATTTTTTCTGGTAGAGTTGTTGTTACTCTATTTTTGTAATACATGTTCTTCTTCCGCTTGAAGGTGCGATGGTTTCGTAAGCTGTGCAACAGTCGGTATGACATGTAAAATAGTCTAGGGGTAGCCAAACAGTAGAGACATCACAAAACACAGTGGCTAGTGGTGGGTACTTAGGAAGACTCAAAGACTAGGGGCTGTGCTGGCGTGGCGAGGGTGGCGAATGTAAATCTGAGGGGAAGAAATCCCCTCGATCGATTTACATTCGGGCTAGGGTTTCGGCCCTAGCCCAGTCGAAATCGGGTCGCGCGCCTGGCCCGACCCGATTTCGACAGTTCCGACCCGAAATCGGGTCGGGTCGGGCCCGACCCGAAATCGGGTTGGGTCGGGCCCGACCCGAAACCCGGCTCGGCCCGGCCCGAAATTGCCCCTCGGGTCGGGCCTTCGTGCGGGTCGGGTCGGGTCGGCCCGTACGGGTCAGGGATCCCGAAAGTTTGACCCGACCCGAGCAAATACACGGGTCGGGTCGGGTCGGCCCGACCCGAGCGGGGCACATGCTCATGTCTAGCCAAAGACATTGCCACGTTTTTGACCTCCATCAAGGCAATTGTCGCTAAACGATGGGACGGCCAGCTTCACAACGCCTTGCAGGCGTTGGGTTGGCTCCTCAACCCCCGCAACCAGTACGTGGGGGCGGTGAGGAACGACCGTGAGACCAGGAAAGGGGCGGATGAGGTGATCAAGGCCCGGGGTGTGAGCGTCGCGCAACGCACATTGCTCCACGCTCAGCTGGCCCAGTTCCACAAGGGAGAGGGCCGGCTTGGCTCCGATGACGCTCGTTGGGCTGCCACGACTTTGGTGGAGGGCGGGCGCCTGACTGACACGGAATGGTGGTGGATGTACGGTGGGGAGGTCGCGGCGCTTCAAGAGCTGGCTGTAATGACTCTATCACAGCCAGTGACCTCATCCGAGGTGGAGAGGTACTTTTCCGCGCTTGCTCGTGTGCAGAGGCGGGACCGGAACCGCCTTGCCGCCACCAAGATGACCGACGTCACCTACGTCGCCTTCACGAGGAGGGCTCGTGACGCCTTTGATCGGAGGCAGGGTGTGCGTGAGAAGCCGTATCGTGACCTGACCGACGGCACCCTCAAGGAGGGCTGCACCATCGCCCCGGTCTCCGCTGGAGAGGAAGAAGAGGGGGCTGGAGTAGTGGAGGAGGAGGGGGAGGAGGCTGTCACTACCATCAACTGGGATGAGTTCGGTAGCATTGGCAAGAAGAAGAGGAAGACGAAGGTGGGAGAGTCCTCCAAGAGGAAGAGGAAAGGGAAGGGGAAGGGTAACCTTCCATGCAAGGGAAAGGGGAAGGGAGCAGTGGTGGAGGAAGAGGAGGAGGAGGAGGAGGAGGAGGCAGACAGCAGTGGGGGGGAGGAAGGTGAGACGTGCAAGAAGACCCGTGATGGAAGCGATCCTTGGGACCTCAGTGATGGTTCTAGTGGGGAGGAGGAGGAGGAGGAGGAGGAGGAGGACGAGGAGGAGGAGGACGATGAATAGGATCAGTACGGTTGAATGGGGATGAGGAGCATGTAGGGGGGGAGTAGGATGGCAGGAGGATGATGGTAGGTAGGGGAGGGCATGTAGAGGGGTAGGATGGCAGGAGGAAGGTGGTAGGTAGGGGATGGCATGTAGGGGGGGAGTAGGATGGCGGGAGGTAGAAGGTATGTAGGGGAGGGCATGTAGTGGGGGAGTAGGATGGTGGGAGGAAGATGGTAAGTAGGATAGAGAGCGTGGTGGGGTTAGTTGTAGAGGTAGTCGTAGTTAAATAAATAGCAGTGCCTATTGTAGGTTTGTTTTATGAGTTTCTGAAGTTTCTGGAAAAAAAAAAACCATGCAAAATAACTCCAAAAAAAAACGGCCGAACTTTTGGAAAAATGACCGTAAAAAACGACCGTAAAAAACGGCACGTTTTTTACGCTGACCGTATTTTTGTTCCTTGATCTGAAGCGCATCGAATCAAGCTGCGCAGTGCAACAGCCACGTCATCCCTCTTGCTTCCAGACCTGCTTGCCCGTGATACTGACTCAAGGGAATCACACTGTGTGCTGGGCACACTCAGTCCCTCCCAGGCCAGCCAGCGCGTACCTCAAGGGGGCAGGCGGGTGCATGTGCAGAGTGCTGCCGTCAGGACTCCCTCCCCCCACCACATGCCCACCCGCGTGGCCCCCGCCCCTCCCATCCCATGCCCCGCCCATCCCACCGCCCATCGCACCCCCAGCAGCAGCAGCGTGGGCAGGCACAGGGGAGTGGTGAGGCCGAAAGGGAGGGTACGATTGCGAGTGAGCGAGCGAGTGAGAGGGTGTGCGAGCGTGTGCGTGGGCGTGCGGGGATGTGTGGGAGTGCAGGCCAGCGCGCGCAGCAGGAGGCGTGAAGGCGGACGCCTTGGTGGGGGTGACCATGCGCTGGTACGCTGCCATCTGGGGGGGGAGTAGTGGGGAGAGGGGAGGAGGGAGGGGGGAGGGGGAGATGAACAAGAAAGAAGGTGGAGGAAGGACGGCACGTCGCAATGCGTGGTGCTGTGGTGTGCTGTGGTGTGATGTGGTGTGCTGTGGTGTGATGTGGTGTGCTGTGTGGTGTGCTGTGGTGTGCTGTGGTGTGCTGTGGAGCAAGTTTCAGACCAGGTCATTTCAGCAATTTCTGGAAAAACAAACCATGGCAAAAAGTGTCCAAGTTAAAAAAGGCCGGATTTTTGCCAAACTGGCCGTAACAAACGACCAAAAAAGACGGACCGTTTTTAAAGCTGGCCGTATTTTTCAACCTTGGTGCGAAGCCATGCCACCCCAGTTGACTGCGCACCTCAAACTTGATGGGCGTGACGGCGGCGGCAGCAGCGGCGGCAGCGAGCCCGGCAACAACGGCCTGGCGGTCGAGGCTGCCGTCAAAGTTCTTGCAGTCGGCGCACTTGCAGTTGGCGCCGCACAGCACATTGGCCTGGAAGCACTCGCAGTACTTCTTCAGACACCCGCTCTTGCGGCAGTGGCACCCCGCGCGGTGCCGCCCCGCCACCGGCGTGTGCACGCGCGCCGCCTCGCCCTGCACACGGGAGGGGGGGGGGGGGGGGGGGGGGGGGGGGGGGGGGGGAGGGGGTGGGACGCATTGGAAAGGAGGGAGTGGGAGGGGCAGGGCGGAGTCAATTGGGGTTGAAGGGGAAGGTGTGCACATGCTGTGGGAGCAAGGCTTGGAATTTGGCTTTTTACATTACAGAACGTTTTTCACACTCGTGGAAGCAAGACTGCCACTATGCTCCCTGTGCACGTGACAGACCATGCGAGCAAGGCACGCGATAAGAGCAGCGAGTTGGACGTGCTGGTTGGTAGAAGCCTGCAGCGACGAGAGAGCCGTTCCAACTCGCTGGTCTTATCACTTCCCTTGTTTGCAAGGTCCGTCACGTGCAGAGTAACGAGTGTGGTGAGGCGAGTGTGGTGAGGCGAGTGTGGTGAGGCGAGTGTGGTGCAGCGAGTGTGGTGCAGCGAGTGTGGTGCAGCGAGTGGGAGAGCAGGGGGGTGGTGCGAGGGGTGGTGAGAGGGCAAACCGAAGCGGGGGCGTGGGAGGGGCTGTGGGGGGCGATTTTGGGGCGGAAGGCGTTGGGGTTGCGGTCGAGCACGGCGAGCACGGCGTCGTGGCGCTGCGCCTCGTTGGCCGGCGAGTTGCAGCAGTTGACGCAGTTGCACCCCTCGCAGTACAGCCCTGCTGCAAAGCACTCGCAGTACCTGCCATGCCATGCAGATAGGGAAACAAACGAGGAGGTTGGGGTGAAATAGGAAGCCCAGTGCAGATATGGCCCTGCCATGCCAGCACAAGGGAGACAGCACAAGGGGGACAGCACAAGGGAGACAGCACAACGGAGACAGCACAAGGGAGACAGCACAAGGGAGACAGCACAAGGGAGACAGAGTCCTGCCCCCCTGCTCTCCACCCATCTAAAAAAGCAGACACAGAAAGTTGCGGGTGGTGCACTGGCAGGGCAGGTGGGTGGGCGGAGGGCGTACAGCTTGAGGCAGCGCGAGTTGCGGCAGTTGCACGACCGCTTGCGCGGAGGCGTGCTCCCCGCCCCTCCCCCTGCCTCCCGTGCCGCCGCCGCCGCCAGCACTGCTGCTGCCGTGGCCGCGTCCTTCTTGTCTGCCCGTGGCTTCCTGCTGCCCTTGCGTGGCACTCACACACACGCACACGCACGCAGAGGCGGGGTGCGGCACGCAGGGAGGGCGGGGAGGAGTTGCATGGCGGGTGAGTGAGAGAGTGCAACATGAGACGGAGAGGACTGAAGGCAACGCATGCAGGAAGAGCAGCACGAGCAAGAGAGCAAGGCGGCATGGAGGCGACCCATGCGATGCGAGAAGAAGAGACGGGGGAAGAGGCAAGAAGAGAGGCCGTGGGGGCGGGGGGAAAGCAAGCGGGGGAGGCGGGAGCGCACGTGGTGAAGGGCGAGGAGGAGGGCTGCAGGGGCGGGGCGAGCGGCAGGGGGGCTGGCAGGGTGAGGGGCAGCGCGACGGGCACCGGCACACCCATGGCCATGCCCGCTGCCATGGGCACGCCCTGCGCAGATGGCACTCCCAACACTGCCGCCTGCGCTGCTGCTGCTGGGGACGCTGCTGCTACGAGCGGTGCTGGTGATGATGCCGCTGGGGCTGCTCCTGCTGTGTGCGTCGCTGCTGCTGCTGCTGCACCCGCTGGTGGTGGGGTGAGCAGCGGTGCCATGCTCGCTTCACGTGCCAAGAAGCCTGCAGGCGCGGGCGCAGGCACGGGCAGGGGCAGCGGAGGTTGCAGCATTTCCTGCACGCTCTGGCTGTGCAGCAACCCGTGACCCGCTGCTACTACCATCTGCTGCTGTTGCTCCTCCTGACGTTGCTTTTCGCTTGCTTCCCGCACATCACCACCGCCTGCCATGTGCGCTGCTGTGCTCGCCAAGTCTGCGGATGGTGCTTCTACTGACAAATGCGCCGACTGTTCCTGCGCCTGCCGAGACTGCAGCGCCGCCTGCTGCGCCGATTGCGAAGGTTGAGAAGGTGGCGCGGGTAGTGAGGGTGGCGCGGGTAGTGAGGGTGGCGCGGGTAGTGAGGGTGGTGCGGGACGAAAACTGGGGGACGAGAACTTAGGTTTTTTTTGGGGTTGTCGAGCGCCCTGTATTTGGCCGTTTACTGTAAGGGAAGGGTTGTGACTTTGGACGCGGGGGTAAACTGGCGGTTTTTGTCTGACGTGGCTAATTTCCGTGATTGGCTGGGATCGCGAATCTCAGGGAAAATGGGCAGGTTTGAGGCTGGAAGAACATGGCAGTTTACTGGCGGGAACCTGACATTGCTTGACGGGGAGGCTCGATCGGGTAACTGAGCTGCGGAAGGAAATTATATAGTTAGTCACAATTAGGCCCGGTTTATCACGTTTGGTCACGGGGGTATCACGAACAGTCACAGTACACTTCGTAACTATCACGTGTGATCACAGTGGTATCACGGATAGTCACAGCTTGCCCCACAAGTCTATCACGTTTGGTCACAGATGAAATGCCCAATTAATTAATGTAACTACTAAAGTAACTGTTGGGAGACAGGGGAAATTTATATCGCGCGCGCTGTTTTGTCCGTAGTGTTGCGAGACGCTGTTAGTTACGGAATATTTTCGCGACCACTTTCGTCAACTCGAAAAAACCATTGGTAACATCGGAAAACTAGCTCGTTGCGCATTGTTCACGGTTGGATTGTCCACTGTTCGATTTGTGCATAATGACCCTAAGAATATTACTTTTAGGCGGGTGAAACTTGAAGGTTATTTTTCCTTCCCAAGAAAAAACTAAAACCCGTTCGGATAGGATTTCCTTCTGGAGGCATCAACCCTAAATACCTTGTCGCAAGGTGTTTAGGGTTGATGCCTCCCGAAGGGTATGCCAACCTTTGGGGTTTAGTTTTTTCTTCAGTCCCCTAAATGTCAGACTAGAATCATGCGCGAGGGTAACCAGCAATCGAGATTGGGATTCCCCCAAATCTCTACAGTTTCTTTTGTGGTTTCAAATAAATTATACTCGTTACATCGAGTGACCAAACGTGATAGCTTTTCGGGGCAAGGTGTGACCATCCGTGATAGCACTGTGATCACCCGCGATAGAAATCTACTGTACTGTGACTGTTTGTGATACCCCTGTGACCAAACGTGATAAAACGGGGAAAATTATGGCTTCCCGTATAATTTCCCGCTGCGGAATGCTGCGGAATGCTGTGGATAACTGAGCAGGTCACGATTTCGGTTTGCCACGTCATCTCATTCCAATTGAGTTTAGTTACGCGATATCATTCGAATCGACATTATGAAGTGAAACTGTTGTATACATAATTACTTCTGTTTAGATTTGTAAATATATGTGAAAGTATTGTTGCTAATCTGTAAGGAATTTTCTCGGCATTCCTTACGGAGTCCGGCTACATCGCGTACAGCACTGCCGTTGTTCGCCCGTTACTGCTAACGGGACTTCGCCAACTTCGCGCGCACTGTTTTGCCAAACCTCGCAC